GGCTACACCTGAAGGCTATCTCGCGCTTATTAGAGGAGCAAGTTTTACCAAATTGTATAGGTATAACAAGCATAGCATGGAGTCTTAAAATCCGCAATCAAATTTGAGGGGGAAAAAGTTTCGTTTCCTTGGCTGTGGCGGCCATATTGGATTTTATTGACATGTCTTACGGAATGAATACTGCATTTATTTTTCATGGAAATGGATTGGGTGTTGTTGTTTTTTTGCATGCATGTTAACAAATATTAGTCATAGACGCCACATCAGTAACCTTAAATCATTTCAATTCTCCTGTTTCTCTTTAAAATTAAGGAATATTTTCCTTCGCAGATACAAAGGTCAGACATTGACGGACTGGCTATTCAGAGTATACTTGGTTCAGACAGTCATGCACGGCATGTAATTAATGTCGAAAGTGGAAAACATCACAAAGAAATTTCTACAGGAAGTAAGATGGAGGTGGATTTAGTCTCGCCCAAAAAAAACTAGGTTCGGGGTGGACCTTTTCAAAACTACAAGTTCTACTCCTTATGAGGTATCGCTCAACTTAGAAGCCCCAAAATCCCAAATAAAATATACGTGTCCGTAATTCAATAAATCTTCATCTTGCCGTCGTGCCATAAATTATAACTAAACATTTCTCTGAACGTGTTGAAACCTTTTTTCCCGACAGCATGATTTCCTCTATGGCGCAGAGACCTGGACTTTGACATGGAAAGAAGAAAGCAAGATAAATGCCTTTGAGACGTGGTGCTACCGTAGAAAGGCCAGAATAAGTTGGAAAGCAAAAAAGACAAACAAAGAGGTATGTCAGATTCTATAGATAAGACAGACCCTGCGGAACAAAATAAAAAATGTAGAAAAATACAATACTATGGTCGCTTTAAAAAACAGTAGACAATTGTGAAAGAGGTGCTTGAAGGAAGGATGTTGGGCAGGAGAGCCAGGGGAAGACAAAGAATAACATGGATAGACAACATAAGAACATGGACTGGCATGGATATGGCAAAACGTGCAACGGCAGCTCGCCATCGTGAAAGATGGAGGGTCATTACATGTCTACCTCCGAGTCAGAGATGACACCTCCAGGTATCCAGGTATCCAGTTATCCAAGTCAAATGATAAGTGTGACTTACCCAGCTTGCGAGCATCCAGCGAGGTATAGTAGACGCAGTAATCCAGGGCGAGGCCGGTCACAAAGACCGTGTCTATGCCGGCAGCTCTGAATGTGTGCTCCAGTCCCGTGGATTTGATACCTCCATTGTCGAAGAACAGAGAATAGGAGTCGATCTGTGTGTCATGGAATTAATTTTTTTTTATGAGAGAAAGTAAACGAGCTGGATAATATGTGGCTAAAATCCGAAAATTAACCAATTTTGTCAGGAAAACCTCACAATTCATGACAATGATAACTCACAGCCGGTCAGTACCATGTGAAATTATAGGCGATATTCTTTTCTTTTTCAGCAAAACATGAGAGACAATAATGAACTTCATAATCTCCTCATCCGACAAGAACAGCAATGGGGCTTTGGCACTTTGGGGAAATACGGCAACAAATACACATGCTGTAAATGTTTGAAAGCCCCGTAGACAAAATCGAGAACATTTTAGTGGGCCAAACGTCAGCACAAACTAAAAAGCTTTTGTTCTGTTACGTGCAGCTCTGCATTGCATAGTAATCAGGGGGAGCCAAAGACTTGTGCCATGATTTTATTTATTTAGATCTATTTATTTATTTTCATTTTGAAGGATGAGCTTTGGTCCGTAAAAAGTTTATGAAATGGCAGGGCTTGCAAGATCGAGGACAACTATTTCATTTCAAGTGGTTCCCCTGCTTCCACAAAGGCAAACTGCAGCATCAGTTCAGTAGGGCGTATCTCCTCATAGGGCAAGATTTCTTTATGCCTGGCTGCATCTGTGTCCCAAAATAAGAGTAAACTATGCAGTTCTAACCTTGAAACCTCCCTGGCAATTGTCGGTTTGAAAAGTTTTTACATTTTTCCTGGCCTATGGCGAAAGGGAGGGTCCTTGAGACTAGAAGACGCAATGAGAACACTTTGAACACGATATGTTAAAACATCCGCCCTCTTTTCAAATCACAATTATGGATGGCTGGTTCTCTCGCTAGTCCCGTGGTATTTGCCTCGGGCACTTTTTTTTCCTGCAGACACACTTGTGTACTATTCCATCTGCTGATAAGAGGTGAAAAGCGAAGACAAACAAGACGCTATCCGGATTCGAACCCGTGACCTTTGAATGAGAGGCGAACACCGTGACCTCTAGGCTACAAGAACCCTCATGCTGTTCTCCATGACACGTCGTTAGCTCCGAATTACAACGTTCTACCTGCTCAACACCTAGTTTTGAGAAATGTGATCTCAAAGATTGTGAGTTTCACATCCTTTTAAGCTTTTTCGACTGCAAGTCTTTGAATATTTATATAAAAACTCTGAATATTCTTAAGATTTTGATAGAGCAGATAGAGCATTAGGTGTCTGACCTCATGGTCTTGATAACTCAAAACGACCAAAGATGTTAGATAGAAATTTGCAATTCTGAGGTAGCGACGTTTCTTACCTACCATGGAATGAAACTGTCTACTATTCGATTCTCCGCATTGGATCCTCGACTCTACAATAATATTTCAAAGCGAAGTAGCTACCCCGTGGTAGATCTTGCTAGCTACCTCATGGTGCTTCGTTCTTTGAACTTACATCTTTAATGGCGGATTGTCGGAGATACCTCTTGTTTCAGTTGAGGAACAAACACATCATTTCGACGTTTGATTAGCATGCACCATGATTTCACCCCCCGCAGGCATAGAATGCCGTCGTATCTAAAGATAAGATAAAATAAGATTAGATAAGATATAACACTTTTTCATTGCCCACATCCTGACACATATACACATACATGCAAACATGCACTCATGTACACACGCACGCACCCCC